CAGTTTTTTGATGTGAAGCTAATGAATGCAGTGGCAAACAAATCCATCAAACCTAGCATCAAAACAACCGCACTTCATCCCACCAAAGGGAAAAATGAAATACAACCTGCAGGCCAGCACTTTGATCTAACCTATCCATAGAAAACAGGTTGCTAAGCAGCTACCACTGAAGAATATGCATGCGTAATTACTGACTTAATTTTATGAAAGGAGGCAACAATRCCTATGCAGCCTGAGTCTTGAGCAGAAATGGTTATAGCAGGCTTCTSTTTTCACGTTCTGCACATGGCTCAGTCATGAGAGGACTTCCAGCACGGAACCCTTCAACATCTGAAAACAAGCCGAGGCTCAAAAAGAGCCGCAGTACAAAGGAATCATGACAATTGCTAGTGAAACCACCCCGTGTGACTCTGCTCCTGATGTGAGGCGATGTAATTCACATACATTTACACCAGATGAAAGTCATCAGGTGGCGCAAAACACACGCCGCACGAGACGGGAGGAGCGCAAGGAAACCCCAGCGCCTTCTCTGCGGCCGTGGAGAACGAGGGCGACAGGTCTGAGACCAGAGCACCTGGGAACACAGGCACGGACCAGCGGGRACTTAACGAGCAACAGGAGGAGGACAGAAAGGAGGAAACTCAAATCATCCCTAGCGAGCTCAAACAGCCCTGGCCTGGTCTGGTCACATCGTCCTGGCTGTTTTCTGCATAGAGCCGCTTCTGAGATCAGTTCCCTGACCACAGGACTCCTTATCCAACCAGCTCAGGAGGACCACGTGGCTCAGAGAGGGATTTTTCAGAGTCCAAAGAATCCCATTCACCACATTAAAATGCACATATCAAAAACGGCTACGCAAAGAACAGCAATCAGAAGCAATACCCWTTCACAGCAGTGCCTCAGGAATGTGCTACATACCATGAGGCCCACACCAAACTCAGTCTTACAGCATATATGAGATGATATTACAGCCAGCAAATTAGATTTCTTACACAAATTTAGGTTTCTTGTACAATGGCAGGTARTGGATATTAAAATTTTAATACTAAACACATTTAAAAACATGATAAAATGTAGAAATGCAAAGAAAAAAAAAAAGGTAAGTAATGACGGATGTAGGAAAACCACAAATTGGCCAAAATTAACCACAAATAAAGCATTTTTAATGAGAACTTTTTCATCAAAATTGGAAAGGAATATATTGATAGAAGATATTTAGATAGGAAGATATAGAAGATAGGCAATAAATCGTTCTGCATAATATCCCTGGCAGCAGGCACTTAGAAATAGTAACTGGAAATGATAATCCATTACGTTAACTTTTCTTTGCTAAACAGAAAGATCTCTGACTGGGAAGACTACATGTGATGTTGAAATTAATACAAATGCTTTATAAATTGTATGTTTTTCCTCTTCCACCCCCACAGCTAATAAACATTAAATCCTAGCTAAGGAAACACAAGATTTTCCTCAGACTAGAGATGTTCTTTTATCAAGCTGTTTGTGGATTTTTATTTAATAACAGTTAAAACATTGTATGTAAACATTCATATTGAGCAACTTTAATAGCTAAATATCAACCCTTGTTCACCACAATTTGCCCGTTTAGCATAAATCAAAACAGGTCCCTACAAAACATGCAAACTAATTGCCACTGACACAACTGTTTTACCAACAGTAAGAAAAATGCACTAGAATAAGGTACTCCACAAAACTGCACATCCGCACCTGAGGGGAATGAATGTATCTCCATTAGGAAAATGGCAAAATTCATGGAAGCTTCAAGAAATACCTCATTTGCTCCTCGTGCATACTTTTTAAAACTTACAGAGATTTTATTCTACTGTTTGAAGTTACAGAATTCCATAGTGTCCCACTCTAGCACAGCCACTTGCAAGCACTTTCAGGCATGATTTGCTCCTTCCACTAGAACTTCCTTTTTTGTGTGTGTTGTCAATTGAAAAAAAAAAAAAAAAAAACCTTAAAAAGCCCAAACTATACTGTTTCTCCCTAGGAATTGGGGGATTTTTAGTATATCTAGCCTATTTCTCCACTCCTGCATTGTTTTCACCTCTTTCTTGTTTCTGCTTGTTCTATTCCAACCATGTCCTTAATCCTATATCACCTGTGTCCTTCTCCACCCCACACCTTGTCCGTGCAGACACTGTCCCCTGGCTCCCAGGAAGGCGCGCAGAGCTCGGAGAGGCTCCTGCTCCACAGCTCCCTCCCGGTGCTCCCTGGGAGGCTCTGGTGCTCCCTGGGAAGGCTCTGCACATCCCGGTTGCTCACTGGGGAGGCTCTGCACCGGCGCTGGGACACAGGCCGCAGGCACCTGCCTGTCCCCACGAGGCAGGGGACAACGCAGGGCCACCCAGATCACAAGCTCAGTGTTTTCAAGGACAGAAAATTTTTCAGAATTTGCATCTACAGTCTGCACTTAATCTGCTTTTCCAATGCTAGGGTCTAAGTGGCCTTTCATTTAACACTTGTAGTCAATTTCACTGAATCTTTAACAGTTTTATGCAGGAAAGCAGTATCATCACTTAGCCTAAATATTTACTATATCTTTAATAGAAATTCATACGATTACATATCTGCTTTATCCTCCATCCCCCCAAATTAACAAAGAAAGAATATTGACTGTACTTAGTGATCTTTTTTTCTTTTCTAAGGCAGACATCCAGCTGCAAGCAATTAGAAAATGCTCTGTAAAAATAAACAYGTTCCCTTAGGGAGACAAATAATTAGTCATCAACATGCAACATTCTCCTAGCAGAATGCAGAAATGATCTGACCCTATATATCACTGCTGACACAGCAGTAACTTGCTGACACAGGCAACCTCTCCAATACAATGCAGAGCAACCAGGAGATCCAAAAAAATTTTTTCCAACTAAAATTCTTGTACATTCTACATATGGGAAGATACATTAAATACAAGATCAGCACTCTAAAGAACGACAAATGAAATGAAATGAAATTGATGAAATCATGGTATTGCCAGAGTAGCTAAATAAATAAAAAAAAATATTAGATTATCAGCATCCTCTGGGCATGCAGTTTCTTTTCTCTTTAATTAATATTTTCAGGAAGTTTCTTAAAGTTGTGATAAAAATCATCACAGCCTTTTGTTTGTTTGTTTTTCTAGAGAAACWTCGTAATCATGAAACTAAATACTCATTTTTCAGTAATTCTGGAAATTTGTGTTTTCAAAGCATCACAAAATCCCAATCGATGCTTTATACAATGCTTAGTATGCAAAAGTATTACACAGAATTATGTGAAGACTTTTCTGTTGGCTGACTTTATTCTTTTTTTAATTTTTACTAGCTTTGGAAAAGAGACACTTTTCTTGCAAGACTTTATTTAAAATGATGAAATATATATATATATATTTATAACTCTCATGTGCTTTTTCTGTAATAAATAATGGAAAAAGGCGACATCCCTTAGACCACATGCCAAAGAAACTAGAGTTCACAGATGACCATGGGATTTCTTCTTAGACAGAAATTCTAATTATTATTGACCTGGCTGCCAATTTGAAACTTTAAGAACTTAAAACTAGGTATGTGCAGTATACAACACTACTTCCTGTGTGTATGACCACATAGCATAGAAGGTACTGCCATGTAATGAACGTTACATTTACAAATTAGAGTTCTAAATAAGTAAAACTGTATTTAAAGCATGTAAGTCATAACTACCTAGTTAAAAATTTCTTTAACCTTGACAAATTATCTTCCGATTCTTTTGAATCTGATCCTGACTCTAAATTTGCAGCATAATGCAGTAACTGAGAGCCCACAGTGAAGGCCTAACAAAAACACAGCTGCCCCAGAAAAGCTTATGCTGTGATTTTTAAAATATGCGAAACAGGTTGCACACTGTAAGTCAGGAGCCTTTCAGGGTGGAACTGATGCAGTTGAAAGTATCACCCATCCAGCCTCACTGTATCCAAGAACGAAATTTGCCTTTCTTGAGGTTTTCCTGAATCGATTCTAGAGCTGCAGCACATTCATAGCTGTGGCTTCTAAAATTCACAATAGCTTTATCTGCAAAATTAACTCAGTAACGTGTCCATGCCCACATTTCTTTCAAATGTCTATTTGTCTATACTATCTATATACTATACTGTCTACTGATAACTACTACTACTAAATACATATATATTTTTAATTGATTTCATAGACAACATTTTATCAGTTGGCTGTTGTAAAAACAAGTTTCCCATCAGAAGTGAAGGCCGATCAGGCAAAAATGCAAATTGATRTTTTCATTACTTTCACATACAAAGTGGAAAAAAACGTGGAAAATAGACATAGATTATTTACAAATATTTTRTCTTTTGAAACATACTACTTATTCTCATTAAAAACAATAACTGAAAATGCCCAGAATCATTTCCAGTATTTGAGAACTTGCTAGTAGTTATTAGTATTCTTAGTATTTCAGATGCTTTGCAGTATTTGAGAACATAGCCTTCCAATCTAAGTGTTTAACGAGAGCTTACCACAGTTAGACAATAAAAGTTAAACCTGCACATCAGTTTTGCACTCTATTCTCTGTTGTCTCACTAGCTAATATCCTAACAAGCCACTATGTTTTCCTCAGTAACAATCATTTTAATGCAGAAAATGCCTCTACATTAAATATTTCTGGAATCATATTAGCCAAAGCTTATATAACTCTGAGAAAAATCATATAATTCTGAAGCAATTGTTTCCTGAACAATCTGCATACTTACCTGATCCTGTATATGGCATGCTGTATATGAAAATAAGCCAAAAACATATGTGTCACCATGGAATTTCAGTGCTAGGAAGCTTCAATACCCAGCTTCAGTAAAACAGAGTCATGGTTCTGTAAGCTGAATAGATTCTCCTTGGGGCTCACAGTTATTACATCAACATAACACTGCAAGCTATCCAATAACTGGAAAGATTAATTGCTCCTTTAGGTCAGATTTTCTTAGGTCTTAGTTCTGCAATATAACTTACCAATTTTGCTGCTTTTCCATAATCAATCCATCGGAATGTGGCAAAGTTTGTTGACTCTGCACAGTTAAAACCGTGGTTAAATCCTGCATGGTATCCATATGGGAAAGTGATCATAAATTCTCCTGCCTCTTGTGTAACCTATGAYATAAAAACAAGCAAACAAAAAAATGAATTATATAGGAAGTTCGGATCCTGAAGAAATTAAATTTGCAATTACATAGAAATAAATAAAGACATTTTTCTGCTACCAAAGTTGTGATTTAATGCATGCAGAAATGAYGTACTTGAGAAAATGTTATTGACTTTAATTTGGAATAATAAAATTTGGCATCACAGCATAACCATATGTGTCATTTTACAGGTTCAGTAATTTCAATGGAGCAAATSCAGCAGCAGCCATTCATTGCTAGGAAAACCTGAAAAGGACGGTGAGACTGTGCAAAAGCTACACTCATCTTCTCAACATGTACAAAATGCCTGCAGGTCCTAAATACTCATATACACATTAATTGTTGAAGAAACMACTCTGTTCACCAGACTGAAGATGTTTCTCTAGAACGGCACTAGAAATATTCCATGTTCATTCTCAGAGAGGCTGTGGAGACCTTATTCCTACCYTTCTCTCCCATCTTCACATATTTCCAAGAATATTGTACAAAGACATGCAACTGAGGGATTCATTTGGCTTTGAAGTTGCTTGTTACTGATGATCAAGCATAAAAAAGTAGGAGGAACCCTAAGCTAATGATCTGTGGCAGTTAGAGAAAGCACAGTTTTCAGGCCAAAGGCAACATTTAAGCAAATATTTATAAGCAAAACAGTGAAACATAATACAATTGGATCCCTGAGGCAGTATTTTCAAGTCATTTTGGATAAGAAAGGAGGAAGAGTCGTGGATAACCACATTGCACCACTTCTCCAGTCTTATAGCTTCTAACTGGGCAGGGAAATCTTTCATTTTAACTATTACACGGAATATCCCAACTTAAGCAAATAATATCCTGCCCCAGTGATTAYATCTTTCTTCTTAAGCACCACTTAGATGCTTAGATTAGGTAGATGGATTCTAGCATCTGGAACTTGTGACGAGAGTTCCGACTATAGAAAGCACAGAGGGGTCTAGAGGAAAATCCCTGGGAAAGGGAAAACCTGGCTAAGCTACAATCTTGACAAAAAAAGCAAAGGTACTTCCAAAGGAACACTGTTGTTTATAAGCACGCTGAAGAAGCCACAGGGCACTGTCTCAACAATTACAGCAAAAGGAAAACAATGAAAAAAACACACTGCAATACATAGTTATGTTTTGCATAGCTTAAATTAAATTCCTAGAAAACGTACCAAAATGAGGTATTGCATAAAAGCAAGTTTCTACAGTAGATTTAAGATAAAATTCTAAGTMAGGCATGCCAAAGGTCACTCATGATGCTCCCTTTCCATAGTGATAAGACACTTTGTGAGGGAACTCTATGGGATCTCTTCTGGACATAAGGCAGAGGACAAACATTCCCTGTCACTAACGTTCTCAGCACTCTCAGGCCATTCTATCATAGCCTGTATCAAGGACAAAGACCAGCAATGGCACAACCACATCCTTTTGACCTGATTTTGGCCCTATTAACTCTGAAGGAGTTAATAAACAGGAAGATTCAGAAGTAAGAAGTCAACGAGATTCACCATGTTCTGTTTGATATAACTTTTTACACTGGATTCACATAAGMTAGGCCACTAAAAAGAAAATAGATCCATTATAAACTCATCACATAACCTGAAGAATGATGGGTGTCTGTTCAGCAGGAACGTGCTTACTGATTATTGGAAAATAAGGGGCATTCATAGTGAGTTGGCTTTTTTATTGTATGACAGTGCTTTGCATAAGCAATCCAGTAAGAAGGAAATRGGAAGGACAAAGAAGATACTATTTAGGGAAAATACATCTATGATTTTAAAGAGTAGAAATGAAAGTTTAAATTTAAACAACTACCAAATTAAATCTCACAGTTCTACACATTTTTTTCCTATTCAAATATCATGTTTTAAAGCTCATCTTCTTACTGCCACGGCACCTTTACACATTTTCACTTCTGAATCCCTCCTTTCCTTTCCCTTAAAATTCTCATCTTAAAGTCATATGAATTGTGTGCTTCTTGTGCTAATGCACAAAGTAGAAATACACAGGGTGACTGCTTCACATGTGTATGTAAGTTCTGGATATTACTATGGAAGCAGGCAAAAGAGGAAAATAAGGGAAATACAACTAGCACAATAAAGGAAGAGCAAAGGATAAAATAAAAACTACATATGCACTTTTTACAGACTCGATTTTGTGTGCAGGTGGAATGTGGTGTGCACACAAGCACCCACAGAGCACGTACGTGGTACCTGCCCTGTGCTCCTCAAACAGGCGCTGTGGGGATGCGTGCGGAAAGGCCATCCTCCATGCCRGCCATTCCCAACTCCATCCCGAGGTCCCTCCCAGCTTCCACCACCGCCCGCATGAGGGATCGAGCCTGCTGCTCTCCATCCACCTTCTCACTGAATCCCACTCATTACAATCACACTCAGGCACAGCCTGCCTCCTCCTYCTCCTAACACAAGATGACAGAAATAAATTTAACTATCTCTAGCACTCCTTTTCGGAATCAGAATACAGGAAAGCCCAGGACATGGAAAAATAGATGTCWGATGGGGGGCACTGACAACAAGCACGTCAGCGTTCACAGGGTGCTGCAGCTCATSCTCCAACCAATGAAACCCTTCAGACTAACATGGGTTTGGGTTTATGCAGTAAACCCAAAACTGTAATTCCATTTTGGAAAGTTTTATCTGACACTGCATGATGAAGTACAAGGCTATGAAGAGAGCAGTTACTTACATACTACAAAAACTGAGCTCCTTCACTGCATTTCCATGTTGTAATATATCATTCAGAAAAAAACCTACTTTTTATGTGAGTAAAAGCTCTCTTTCCAAGGCAGACAGCCTCATTCCAACTGCCTACRTTTTACACTTTGGTTGATTTAAGCATGAAAACTTAAGCAACCTTCCAAGAGACAATCAACAAATCAATGGCTTCATTCTACATAAGTCTACCTTTCTCCTGGCTTCTTTACTTTTACTGAAATGATGTATTCTCACAAGCTTCTTTCAATCAAACAAACCTTATAAATTTACATCCCCTCAGTTTCTTTGCAGGAATAAAACATAACTGGCTGTACTAGTTAGCCCTGTTTAACTAACAATATTGCTGTCGATAATTGCTGCCGTCATAGACATTGGTTATTGGTGTATAGGTGCTTGCACGCTTTACAATTTGCTATAAAATACTACTTTTAAGAGTGTTCRAGAACATTGTTGATAAATTTCTATGGCAAATCCCCTTAAAGATACAATCTATCTCCAACTGTATTTACTTCTTCAATAATGTGTACACTTCAGGTGAGAGTACTTAGGTTATGAAGTACAACATACCATAGGACCATCCTGTAAATTTTAAGATTTTGTTTTTTGTTGCTGATAGCATTGTATATACATGGGAAAAATATTCCCTTAAAATATTATCTATGGGCTACATTTCAAGCTATTACATAAATCTCAACTAAAACAGGGGAACAGCACACCTTATACCATATTGTAGGCAGGGGAAAGGGAGGAGTTGAGCTGGTATACAAAGATCCTCACGCTACCTATAAATAAAACGCCTTACATATGAAAACAGAAACTACACTAATAAACAAGGAGTGTGACAAGGATGGTTTATGGCATTATTTTGCAAGGGGAGCAGAGTTAGAASAAGTACAGATTGCCTCGTTCATCCATACACCTTAAAACAGTCTGGGCAGTGAGAAAACAGGAATCATTATTGATTAGTGATGAAAAGGCTTTTATCAAGTCAGTATGAAAAACAGTTATTTAGAGAGAGGACTTTTTGAATCAAACTCTATACTTCAGTGGACATTTGTGAAGCTGCTGAATTTAGAAATTCCAAATTTACAAAGCTGTTCAAGATATTGAACACGGATGCTTTAAAAAAAGCAATACARCAAAAGTGCCTTTACTAGTCAGCATCTACAAGAAGTCTGAAGTTATACCCAAGTGAAAACATTATAAGTGGAGAAGAATAAGGCAAGAATCCTTAGCAAAGGAGAGCACTAAAGTATACTTCTGATTTTTGCAAAGCGGGAATATACTATATTCATACACAAAGAATAAAGGGTTTTTTTCAGTTTATATTAAGTTTCGATTATCTATGCATTCTCAACCTACCAGCACCTAACAGCATAAAAAAAAATTACCAATTTTGTAATATATTGCAGCTTTAAAAATATATTCTATTTAAATAGTATTTATTTTGGTTTTATTCCACCCTGTAAATATCAAGGTTTTTGTAGATAATATTGTCCATGAAGTCACATTGAACTGCATCACAAGTGCAATATGCAGAGAGAAATGAAYGTTTACTGCAAAATATCCAATATAAAGCATAACCTAGTATTAGAAAGTATTTAAATCAATGTAGAACCCATACAACTTTGCATGGGAATAAATAATGCTGATATCTTAGAAGCACAGAATCTTTCAGGGTTCAAATTATGATACCTGCAAGTATTTTCCATGAGAAAATTCCAAACTAAACCACTTAAAAGTCATAATACTATAAGCACTCACTTTAACCTTGTCAGGGAGACAGTACCCAAATAAAAAATAATAATTTTGCCTCCTCTTTATTATCAACATTCTTTATAGTACACACAATCTAATTCAATGCATGAATGCACAGTTTAAAAACAGATGCTAATGTACCTTGTCAAAAGGAATTCCATACTTTTTCAATATTGAGGGAGAAATCAAGGTCATCTTGTGGCGAAGAAAAGCGTCACATCCTTGCGAGCTGCTTGGGAAGAACCCTAAAAAGGCAAATTAAGCAAAACTGAGCCTCTCTTAATTAAAAAAAAAAAAGTCTTAGTAGTACTTTAAAATAAAAATCTTAAATATTTGTTTTAGTATTTTTCATCTAGTCACTGCTAGTTACCAAGAAATCTGTATTAAAAAATAACCCCACACATACAGCTCCCACAAGATCCAGCTTATTTTCACCTCTTCATTTTGGAAAGAAGTGAAATACTTAAAATAAATTTTGGACACAATGTTCATCATCCTTTCTTTTCTTTGCAGAAATTTTTGTTRCATATTTTTCGAGGTTTAATGATCATCCTACTATCCATGGAAATCTCCAGCACATATGAATCACCAACATTAATATTTAAATTTAGAAGCATCCCAGAAAAATCAGATTTGCCCAGTACCTCCAGACCACTTACACAGTCTGTCCATCTGACAGGAAAAGGGACAGAATGTAGAGCAATCTTTTTCTATTATTTATCTCTATTTTATCTCTATTTGATTTCTTAGAAGTACCTTGTGGGTTTCCAAGTCAGTATTTTTCATTTCCTTGCATCTTGTTCCAGTTTGTATGAATGAATGTTGCTATTCAGGTTGCAGCTTTCACCATTAATTTATGCAGCAATTTGCTAACCCTGGTCATTACAGAATAATAACCCTGTATTTCATAACAATACAATGAAGCTGATGAGCACATGGAAGTAAATCAGGGCTACTCATACCAGTTGCTAATGGGGCCACATGTAGCACTAAGACGGGCTTCCACCACAGCATCAGTAATGAAAGGCAGCATGAGGAGATTATACCACTTACTCCCAGCACTCACTGTCTTCTTCCATGTGGGAGAAACAAAACTACACAGGATTTGATTCTGCGCACTTAGGATTCTCTTTCCCAAACAGGGAATAGCATCAGCTGCCTGAACGGAGGCTGCAGCGAGGCCGRGGCCGAGCTCTCCTCCAGAGGAACCGCGGATAGGACAAGAGGGAACRGCCTCACGAGGCACCGCGGGAGGCTCAGTTGGACATGAGGAGGATTCCTACACGGACGGGCAGAGCGGAGCAGCCTGGGGACAGGCTGCCCAGGGAAGCGCTGGGGTCTCAGGACACGGGTGGATGAGGCGCTYSGGRACAGGGYTGAGCYGGSAGCGTGCGGAGCGGCCTACGGCTGGAATCTACGATCCTGAAGGTCTGTTCCAACCACAACAATTCTGTGATTCTAACATAGGAAAAAAAAGTAGGTGTCCCTGACTCTAATATCCGGACTCTAAAAACAGGGATGTAAAGAGCACCACAAACAGAGCTCCACCAAAAAAAAAAAAAAAGGAGAGGCATAATAGTTAAAGACAGCAACATGCTCCTGAAAAGCCCCTATGATCGAAATACTGACAGAATAAGATGAGAGCCACCTAAGCAGCCACGTTTCCCTGAACACGTGCTCCCAATTCCTTTCTTCCTCAAGTACTGGTCTCTGCYCTTCTCCCAGAGGAATCCATGTAATATTAAAATGCAAGAAAACAGAAATACACAGAAAACTTAACAAAGTTATATCACCAACAGACCAACAGAAGCAGGTGGATAGCAAAGGGAACCAATTAACTCAATAAACAGCAACAGGGAGAAAGTTCCTTTTTTATTATTAAGACTGATTCAATTTTCCCTATGTCAGGCTGCAAATAGCCTCATTATTTCCCCTCATTATATAAATGCACAAGAGTGCCATTTATCAGTACAAAGAATCACCAGGAGATGTACTATGAATAACTGAAATTATGTATTTCAAGGTCATGGAAAATATGTAATATTATTGTATCAAGGATACAGCATTTGAAAATATTTCATTTTTCTCTAGTACAGCTTCATTTTCTTTTATTTACTGCACTTTATACAGAGTTTACTGTGCAATGTTACTAAGACCCAAGCAGTTCACTGCACACCATGTCATTTATCCTCTAGRGACTTCAGAATATTTTGCCAAGGGTGGCAGGTGCCATTGACAAAAAAATAATGAAGTAACTGCTTTAAAAACATATCCTAATTTTCAGAAAGTATAAGTGAGACAGAAAGAAGTTCAGTATCTGTTACAACTACATAGGAGAAAAAAAGGGAAAAAAAAGTCCTAGAGAAAGCTGAACCAGGAGAACCTGCTTCCTTATCCTAGCCTTTAAAGACTAAAATCACCACTTCCCTCTCTTAAAACCTGCGCGCGTGTGTGTGTGTGTGTGTGTGTGCAAGCAAAACGAAGATGAAATTAGGATTTTTAACCAGGGAAATGTGAGTTAGAATGATTCCTAAAAAGGAAAGGGCGAGGTAAAATAGGTTGATAAACTGCATTTTAACAAATTTAGAATAAAGTGTTCTGCATTATGTAATAAAACTGTTACAGGCAAAAAATTTAAGTAAAATAAAGGAACACATTGATGTAAAAATCACGAGATGGTCATTTTTCTCTACAATAAATATCATCTATTGTTGTCTGTTCTTTCTAACAATCACAGACAGGAAAAAAAAAAAAAAAGTGGGCAAATCAGTTCAGACAAGTTACCCATTAATTACAGAAAATGTTACACTCTACACCAAACCATATAAAGGAAATTCAGAGGTAAAACAGTACCCTAAGTAGTGAGCATGGGTTACCTAAGATGGGTTAACATTTATCATTTGAGTTGCTTCTAAATAGTGCATTTCATATTAACTTAATCTTAAAAAAAAAAAACTGTGCTGTATTAAATTAATTAAAGTTTATAATATAATCAATGAAGAAAGCAGGGTTTGAGTCGCTCTATATATAGATTTGTAGTCTGGTCCCAAAGCAAATGCAATGACTGGTCATAAAATAATTGAAATTGGAAAAACATTTAAGGAAGATAATATGTACTGTATTAAATACTTCATTTAGTTTGAAATTTATATTTATAMTAGGTATATAATTCTGTCCACAAAAAATATGCATCTATTTCTATCATCTTAACAAAAAAAAAAATTACGATATACCTTTTGTAAAGGAGAGCATTTTCATGAACTCCTGTTCATTGAAGTTAAGCATGAAGTTAAGCATCTTAATAATATTTAGAAACATAAATATTGCATTTGATTTGATTAGAAGTACTAAGCATGCAACACAATATGCAGTACTTCCTTAAAGTAAGACCAYACTGCAGATTCCTAAGTAGGATTTTGATTTCTTTTCAGAAAGGAAATTTTAAAAAAGCTTTTGCTTCCAAAAATACTCTCAAAGTAATACTCAAATTCTGTTCAGCTGTATTATAAATCAAACTAATGATTCATAAAGAAAATTCTAATATAGAGCCATTTTTTAAAAACAAGTTTTTTTTTTTTTTTCTAAATKCAAGAATAGCATATATGATGTTATTCTTTCAAGTAAAAGTATTGCCGGTGGATGAAACTAAAGTGACACAAATACTGTGTCTTAAAAGCCAACAAACAAACAAAAACTTTACAGTTTACCAGTTTTCTTGCCTAKGAAATTGCAGTGATGGTGAAGTGAGGTGGAAGAGATAGTGGAGAAGATATGACACCTTCTTTGTGGTCAAAACAAACAAAAATAATAYAGATGCACACAAGCACACTTAACAACTATATTAATAGTGATTTAGGAAAAAATAATTTGAGTTACTGATGTATAAAAAGACATTTTCCCCTGAAGAACATAAAAGATATTTCAGAAAGATCCAGACTGCAGATCTGCAGGTTTACCAGTTAATGTAAGTTCACTAGAAAAATCCTACATTAAAAATAAAAATATTTGCCATGTATCCAGAATATTCACAGCATTCAAGTTCTGTAGCACATTAAAAAAATGTTTTTATTAATTATGTGGAATTAAACATCCATTAACTCTAAATCATCTCTACAAAAGCACAAAATTTCTGGTAATTTGCAAGTAAATCCAATTTCACAGATAGTCCCTTGAGATGTGACACACCTTCTATGCTTCTTCTACCCAACCGGATCGTCCATATCCTCTTGGAAATGACTACACACAACCCAATAAGCCAACTCCATAATCACTTAGAAAGAGGGAAAGAGCAAGTCTGAAAGGCCTCAAAGAAACAGACTCAGTCTACACATGGACTTGATTTCATCAGGAACAGAGTGGTTTAAGACAGTTGTTGGAGGACTGACACTTTCAACACCTGAAGCACAACCATCTCTGACACAAGAATCCACATTTTTGGTGGCCGCTTGTTTGTTTATGAGCATGTAAACCACAGGCAGAGCACATTTCACATGTACAGGATATTCATCAAGGATGCTGGAGGTCCCACTGGCGCTTCCTAACAGGCTTATCTAGCTTTAGCAGAAGTAACAATTGCTGACTGCACTRATCATCAAAAACATGCTCCCAGAAGGCCCCAGATACATATTCTGACAGATGACACAGGCCAAAATGAGATAAGCTTACACTGGTTCATCAGTGTTGCTTGCTCAAACAAAATGATATTTTGGAATGACAATCTTATCACCACACAGGACAAAGATGCACATTTTGTCAAGGCTATTTCACCTGCTTAGACCATGACCTTCCAATGTAATTATTGGTTTTCTGATCTATATTCCAGATGCAACCCCAAACATTCTTATTTTCAGGAGAAACTGAGGGCAATGGGCACCAAGCAGATTGCCAGCTACATGTGAGGACAAGATTCACATACACACATCAGACTGCTGCACTGAGAGTCCTCAAAGGTAACTGAAGACGACTGGGATAATTTTAAAATAACTAAGTTCAGGTCAGCCATTAGATAAATCATTGAGGAACAACAAGCACTGCTTCCTGGAAGGCTCATTTTTTCCAACCTGAAAGCCTCATTCCTGCATGTCGTAGAGAGCTCTGTTTCAGATGACTGTCTCTTCATATCACAAGCGTAACTCTTGCAAATGTAAGTAGATGGGGTTTCATTACCTGGTTGGTTAGTATTTGAGATAATTGAAACTCTTATCTGAACTACTAGGAAGGCATTCATACTGATTTCAATTAAATTGTTCAGCTAGCATCATACATGGACAAATTGGAACACTTTTATTCCCCAAAGGGTACTCCGTAACTTTGCCAAGTAAATCCACTGTCTTGAACAGGACAATTGACAATACATACTATCTTGTATGATCAAGGATATCTCATTCTAGCCAATACTACTGTCATTATTTTACAAACATGCATTAAAATTGTCATCTGAGAGAACTTTCAGTTCAGATTGTGAACAGAGAAGCACAGAGGCAATGCTTACTATCTATTCTACACTGCCACGCTCAGTTAACACGTCACCTGAAGTTTTACATTAAAGGTGCTGTATTACTAACTAATTTCTCAATATTAATTTAAAATAAAAACACTTAAAATATCTGAAAGAGAACATACCAAACTGTAAATAACTAATGTAATTAAAATTACTCCCAATTAACATAATTAGCTAAATTATGTTTCGCAAATTTGATGTAATTTTAACTTATGTCTATTGTCCAACTTTACTTAAGGGACTTCAAAACATTCAAAATATTAATCTTAATTCATTGATGAACACTCTCACAACACAGACAGATGCACTGAATTTTTAGTCACTTTATATTTTACTTTGGTAGATACAAACAAAAACTTGATATAATGTATCTGAATGAATTTGCAATGATTTGAATTAATGTGGTTTGAATTTCCATATTGCAGATAAAAAAAAAAAAATTAGAAGAATGAGTTTGCATGGCAACAGACCTCACAAAGAAACAGTGACAATCTGTATGCTATATAAAGCACAAAATACTAAAGCCACAAAAGATGGCAACTACTGTGAAATATGAGTGTTATTACGCCCAGATGAATATGTTACAGCCCAAAGTTTATTATCATTTGGATGCAAGTTCCCTAACTTGACTCAAGTAACTATCAGCAGGGGAAAAGTTCTGTTCTTCAGATGTTGTAGTTTTCAGATTGAAGAACTTTGAAGTTATCCAAATGCTGCATTTCAACATATTTTATGCTTATTTTCATGCGTAACAGACAATAACTTCTATATGAAATTAATTTATATGACAAACCATATATGGCTTTTAAAACACTAATTATTTTAARCATTACCTTAGTTTCCACTTTAGCRTAAGTAAACACCACAGACGTTATCTCTTTYCTGAAGTACTTAGAAGATCTATTAAAAGAACCTGAAAATCCTTCAAACTCTCATATTCAATTCGCCTCCCTCCTTCTATTTTTGCCTTATTTTCTAACCTATTTGGTGAAACAAAACATCCTCTTAAAATACGATGGTATTACAGATCAACATAACAAATATAAAAATTGCRGTAACAGCTCACTTGAGATTTTTATTACATTTATGTCTACATAAAATTGAAAGAAACTACATARATGAGGAAACAGCTGAAGGGCAAAATCAAACTGCTGCCTTTATCAGATGCAAGTCTAATGTCTTTCAGATAAAATATTTGTAGRTGCCACAGTCAATCAAGATTTCAACAGAAACCAAAGATGAAAGCACTCATGCACAAAAGGCACATGTGATAATTGTGATGAACAGACTAGATAATGAAAAATATCCCAACCTTTTATTAAGGTTTAATTTCCTTAAATTTACCTATCAACTGCTGCCTTGACCTGGACAACTCACCACATTTGCTGCATTATTTAATTATTTTAATTATTTAGGAGCATTCAGTTAATTCAAAAAGTACCTGGTCAGCAGAGCTAACCTTCTTCTATAAACTGTTTTTTCCTCTTCAGGTGTTGCACTCCTGATTAAAAATAMCTTCAATAAACATATAATTAAGTCTGAAGGTCTCATTTACACTGCATTTTTATTAACYTTTATTATTAACTCAGTTGCAGCCATTAGGTTGCTTTTTATTTTCACCATTTTAGAATACCTTACTGCAAAGYTCTGAATATATTTTAGCAGGCAGCAACTGCAGCATGGAAGGTCACAGATGCCTTGTCCTCCACGAGCATGGAAATCATCAGAAATGATAACTATTTCAAAAAATCTGGAAGTATATGTCACAGTGAGCATAAACCACATCACCCACGCTTAAGAACTGCAGTATCCTCTTCTGGAATCTATTCTGAGCTATTAGCTGAACCAAAAATACTTTATTCACAGAAATGTAAGTTAAAATACAATAAAGTCAAACACTAAGCTTAAGAAATATTAGAGATGGTTGTCTATAATCTTATAAAGGTGTTATGATAAAATCTTAGAGCATGCAAGCTTCCCTACAGAAATCCAGTTTCTTTCAGTGGATGTAACTGAATAAGCAACTATTTGAAATTGTATCTTCACTGTTCTGTATCTGACTCTATGTTTTATTTGCCATTCATTGTTCAAAAGACAGTTCTGAGGCAAGTATAATTATATTTTTATCACAGAAAACACATTTCTGTCACCACACTGCTCTCTGTAACTTAAACTATAAACAATATAAACAATAGCTATGGTGGAAAACTCAGATGTGCTTTGGACAGGAGTAAATAACACACCTTGGCAGGTTCTTTAAATATAGTGATTAATAAAGGCCAAGGAGTTGGTTTCCTGTTCCAAGCCTTGGAAGGAAGCATCCCTGTGCCCCTGGTTCCTCCATGCGCTGCCTTCCTCCAGCCAGTTCCAGTCCGGARAACTCTCACCCTGGATGACGAGGAAGTCCCTTCTAGCCTCTCATCCAACTACATTATTCTGGCACTAGCTCATTAATTCCCCAGCACAACCTATGAGCCCCTGAAAAACACTGTATTGGGGGACTGTCCCATGCGTTATGTCCCATTCTTCCTAATGCATTATTTTCAAGATTCGCTAAAAAATGGGATCCCACCAAAGGACAATGAGTGTTGCTGAGATTGCTCCTTCTCTTCAATCTCTTTCAAATAAAAAGTTTGGACATGCACTCATTACRGAACATTTAAGCCCAAACAGTTTTATAATTCTGCACAGCTGTAAGCAACCAATATGAAATTCTGTAACAAGCATCAGAGAAGGCTTACCGCCCTAACTGCAGGGTCTGTTTACCCAAGAACCCTGTTTACTGCAGAGGTCAAAAGCAGATGTAGAGATAACAGTTTCAGTACCATCAAACCTTCACTTCCTCTGAGCCCGCTTCCAGGACTACCTGGTCAAGGCTCAAAAACTTCCAAAGATAAATGTGGCTCCTACGTACCCTTTAACAATTTTCCCTGCCCGTGTCATCCAGTCTCTCCTCGATTCCAGGTAAACTTTTGGATTTGGATTTGCAATGAGTTTAGACTGTCTAAAGAAGCGTGACCTTACGTTTGTTTTGAAACTGCTGAGAGACTTTGTTCTCAGACAGGCTGCAATTGCACTGGAAAATCCGATGAACACCCATTCTCCTGACACCTTTTTCACACCAGTCATCCCAGACCTTTACCATACCCCTTCTCTTCAATTCTTTGCTAGATTGAAAAGTTCCAGCTTTCTGAACATTTCTTGCTCAGAAAAGCACTATTATTGGTCTTCCTTGCTGCCCCTCTCTGGACCTTTTCCATTTCTCCATTTCTTTCATTCTTTACTCTTTTTCGGTAACCCTTAAAAATAGCTACTGAACAACCTTCAGCATAACTCAGTTCCAACTATGCAGACTACAACTGTTATCAATTTGTTCACTACTGAATCCTGTAAGCTTTAAAAGTTTCTGTAGTTTACAAGTTGTAACAAGAGTGGTAACTTTTTAAAATGCAATGATGGATAAATTTAGGAGTATGAACTATAATTTTCCAGGTTGACATGTGCCCAGCTGTGCAGGCATTTCAGGAGTGCAAGCACAGGACTTTGCTTTCACGTCTCAGTGGTACACACCGAAGCACAACAGTGTGCCCTTTGTAACACAGTGTGTGCAGTAAACTGCTTAAAAATAGCTCAGAATAACAACCCTGCCTTTATAAATGCACACAAATGGGTCTGAAAAGAAAATACAAAAATATTTTCAGAATTTAGTCCCCATTTATGATACCTAGTTACAAACTTTAAAGAGTAGTTGTTATATAATATGGTTAATAGCAAGCCACTAAATGTGTGCTGTCACAGCAAGCAAAGCATCTAATTGTTCTTGTACTCATAATCAGCACTCTTCATTTGGAATGAGAAAGGGAGCTTAGTACAGCTTAAAATAAATCAAATTACTATGTAAGATCAGGCATTATTTTCCTACAGATAAATAATACTTGGGCCTTAAATCTCTTCCCCACAGCACTGTCTTCTGCTCCTTCACAAAGGAGCCTCTCCCCCATTTGGCTAAAACTGTAAGATTGAAAAGTTACAGGGGACAAGGAACTATCTAAGAGGCAGAAGAAAGGGGACAGARGGGACTATATCATCAATAATATTCTAATAAACAAAAACAGCACACTGTTAAGCTGTCTTTTCATATGCTTAACCAAACTAAATGGGCCAGTACAAAGCTAAATACTAAAAAACACAATGGTTCCTGAAATATTCCCCAGAGTGCCAAGCAATGTTCCTGCTTTGAAAACACTAGAGGCAATTGCACACACCAGAGGCAAATAAAAGTTGCACAGTGTTAGGAAAGAATAAAACACAGCTGGCAAGTCAAGGACTAGGATTTTCACGTTGCTGGAGGGTTGTCCTTAAAACACCTTAAATAATGAAATACTGAAGATACTACCTTGAGCTAGTCGTTCAAGACGTCTCCCATGTTCTGGAGGAATAGCATACCTAAAATTCACACACARAAAAAGACAGTGTTTATCAACATGATTACTAGAGAAGCCATAGTTTCAAATAGCTAAATGCTTAAAAATATAGAACCAGCAACATTAAATAAAGGTGCAGTATGCAGGAAAACTTAATTTTGTTGTATTTGAGAAGCTTTGTAGCTTATTTCTAGCTTAAACACTATACAGTTCAGGAATGTTGTACTCACTATGCAAAATCATGCCTTGAGACAATGTTTTACTGGATTACACCACTTACCATTATTTCAGTTAAAAGGAGATGCAGGTATTTTTATTTTCCAAGTGAAGCAGAAACCCGTACAATAGAATAAAATCCAATTCATACGGGATTAATTTCTATGAATCTTACCATGCTTCACAAGAGCTCAACAGAAAAATGTGATCACTAAATAAACYTTTTTTTTTCCTTTACAGTCAATGCTTAGGAATAAGACAGTTAGTAAATTGCAAATCAATACAACTAGATCATTTTTAACACCAAGAAACATAATTTCTTTATATTCAATAATGACACAGTCCTCGGAAACACTCTACTTTCACAATAAATTACTCTTAGAAGATTTCATAACCTGTTTACAACAAATCAGTAAGAATTGTAACAGAACCAGAATCCTCACTTTTAATATTTACTACAACTAGAAAATATTAGATTATAGAAAAGATGAAATTTTATTGTTTTTCCGAATATACACAGAACKTAAAAGATTAATTTCAACTTTGATATTCACATATTTATTGTGCTTCATTCACTTATTATATACATTAATTAGTCCTGTTCTAATCAACTCCAAAAGCTTAAACATGATACAATTACCTTCCATTTGAGTTTAATATTGTAATAGATTTGGACTGAATCTTTAACAATATGGTTCAAAAAAGGAGAAAAATGCATATTTGGCAGTACCATGCAGTTCAAAGCAAGCCAACATTCAGCTTTTTTACTGTTCCACCAACACGGATTTCATTGATCTCCCTTGTTAACTCGTGAACACTTAGGGTTTGACTAAGCCAAGTGCAGGCCCTTTGGTTTAGCACAAGTGAAAACCACCTCTCCCTTCGTGCATGTGTGCTCAGAGATGTGTCCCCCTCACCCCAACACTGCCTGTRTCACAGAGGAACTGCAGCACAGAAGCAAGATTTGTGCATCCCAGAAGACAGTGCTCCCAGCACAACAGCTGCCACCATGCCCCAGCTCACTGACGACCCAAATGATATTAAACAAAAGGAGAATTTCAGACTGACTCCACTCGCCGTTTCGGTTCTAATCAGAACTTCATTMTCTCTCCAAAATGAATTGTTTCTCTCCATTTGTCTTTCTGAACTGTTTATACGTCTGTCCTCTACTGTGTATTACACTGGCATCAGTGTCTATGCAGTAATGTAAGACACGTTTGCATCCTTCACAGCCCAGTGCAAATTGCTGTGTATAGCACTGTGCATTGTCCTATGTCTCTAAATTACACAACTCCATAAAGCACAACCAAAAGACACAGTGTGTGCATCTAGCAAAAAACTCTAATTAGACCTTTCTTTGCTTCTCATGTCTCTGATTAGGCTGGGATATTTCTAAGAAGTTGCTCAGTGAATTTATTACATTTTCATGATACTATGTGGTCACATGTTTCCACCTGTACACATGGGCATGTAGGTACATTAAAAAACCACAGGACACCTTAAAATACAAAATTTGACAATTGATACCCAAGATATATTACCTATAAAGATAAGACATTCAATTTAACTAGGCTGTACCCACTTATTTAGCAAATATAAAATCCGTCAAGCAATAATTCATTAAAAGCARGTTAATTCTTTTCACCACTCTTTTTCTCTGGTGATACCCTCTCCCCCACGATCTTTTGCTTCTTCCCAATGGTGTCTTGTTTTCACTGCTAAGTGACCAAGAAAAGAACCTCAGCGTAGTCCCACACATCAGGAAACTCTCCATATTGGCTAATGACATTCCCTGGCCCCAAACACAATCCATTAGAAAACTGAGCTTTCTAATACCTTGGATATCAGTTAAATTGTACTACCATGAATCTTATCACATCCTTAATCTATAGCATAGAAGACAAAACACGCAAGGCCTAACTCAGATGTAGGCCAATGAAACGATGGAAAGGGCTCAAGGAGTACAGGACTCCTGAAAAGGCTTAAAACACCTACAAATCTTCCCTTTGCTGATCCCCACCTGCATCTGCAGTGTTACAGCTTCTATGAAGCTTGTGTCCAACCTCAYCTAGCTACACTACCAAAGAGCCACTACTATTTGATTTCTCAAATCTTAGACCGTATCCTGCCATGTCAATGTAGAGGGTGTTAAATACTRAATCAGTAGGAGGCAAGGAGAATGTTTCTTAGAAACAAAACAGAAAAATGCAAGAAGAGAAAGAAATAACAGTATAACTGCTGATGCCAAGTAGCTTTTAAGTTTATTCGTTCAGGAAGACATTATCTGCATACACTCTTGAACGGGCAGATGTCTGATTAAAACTGAGTCCATCACTGTTCACCACTAGCATCCTACCACACACGGTAGATACAGCAGGTAAGTATTATGAAAATATTCTTGAGGGCATCTGCTCTGAAACACACAATAATGCAGCAACACAGGGTTATAGGCAAGAGATCACTATGAAYAAGTAATAATAAATATTATGTGCGAGTCAAGATTTTTTGTCTCACAAACAGAGATACACCTAATATTTCCACTACATTATCAGGGTTGAATACTTTATATGATATTTCGGTTTACTTTAAGTAAGAAGACAGATTTTTGGGCTGCTTTGTTTTTTGATAAAATCTCAGTCTTAGGGAATAACATCCACTGTTTACCCATTAAGTAGCAGCAATATAAACTCACTGTTCTATCTATAGTCTTCAACCCCCTGGAGGATGCAGAAGTCTAGTCCCTATGTCCACTCAGTCATGTCTTTACCTCAAAAATACAATAATTGACAACAAATCCAGTAGAGACTATGATACAGAAGACTCTATGGGGAACCTGGCTGGAATAGCTGCTTAATAATTTTCTTTACTACTTTGGTCACTATTGACTTTATAGTCARAAGTAGAACCCTAATAACCTTTGATTTACTGCTGCCTTCATGTTGTTTTCTTTCTCCTCTATGACAGTAAATTTATTTTTGTCTCTCTGTATAACAACTGCTATTCCACTACAGTAAAAATAGAATAATTTTACTTCACAAATAAAATCTGGTACAGGGAAAAAAAAATACTCATGGTCAATGGAAATGAGTATAGATATCTGAGCTTCATTAAGAATRTTTGGGCATTACATTGAGAAGAATAAACACAGCAATACACCACAAAAAAAACACTTCTTTTTCTTCAATTAGGGGATCCTTAATCCCTCACWTAAAGATACTCATAAAAAGCATGTGACCCACAGAAGAAACTGTGTAACTCAAAAAACAGTGTGAATTAAAATGGCAGCCTTCATAGGTGGCGATAACTAATAGAATATTCAGAAGGCACAAGGCAAACCTTTAATGTCATCATATCTCTACAGCAATATCTACTTTTTCATATTTTCATTCAGGAGATTGTTGCAGGGACATCGGGCAACACAGAATAATAAAACTGGGCTTATGCATGCATACCTGTCAGAGCTGACAACATATGTTTTGAAACAACAGCAATGTGTGACTATTATTAACTGTAACACCTATGGGTTTTTTGCATATTTTTCACTACCTTAACACTTTTTCCCCTCCCCTTTTAATAAGGTGTAGTATAACCATTAATCTTTAGAAAATGAACGTAGGACATGAAAAGAAAAACTGTTCAAAGCCCACAGACATCTAAAAAGGAAATTAAAAAGGTTAATTTCTTCTTGAATTTAAAATGAGACTTACAAAATGGCAGGGAAGAAGTAGCAAAATAAGTTTTGTTCAGAATATTACTATATTAACATAATTCCAAGTGAAAAAAACAGGATGTGAAAAATTATTACCTTAGCGGAGTTTTAAAGAAAATTCTTCAATTTAATAATTTTCATCTCTTTCCCACAGCTGCATCCTGCAAGTGCTCAAGAAGTCAAGCTTTTCAATTTCAGAAACCAATTTTCAGTTCAGTTACATGTTAAATCAATGCATATAGTKTGGGACTGTGTATTTGTGACACTACTACTTTTCCTGATTGTGATATTAACATAAGTAAATTCAAGCACTGCTTCATTTCTCAATCTGAACCTTTGAGAAGGCCCAGTAATGCCTCCAAAATACACACAAATACACACACCAAAAGAGCTTCAGAAAAGCCATTTTTTTAGAGGGGGGAGGATTCTCTAATGCTCTTTTCCCCCCACACTAGCAGGGTGCATGGATAAGCAGTAAATTCTCTGGAGATCCTGATTCTATTCTCTAGAAGAGCCTTAACGTCTAACCACTTACCTAGTCATCAGCTAATGGAAATCACTACTTCCACGTAGCAGACATTGCAATTCCAGACTCCTCTCTTCCTCTTTACAAACAACTTTCTCTTTCATAACCATTCTTTACTTCCATGAATCTCACACTATGAAACAACTAAGCTCCAACAGGTTACAGGAAGAGTATAACCCCATAATCCAAAAATTAGGGGACACTGTTAGGAGGTAGGGTGTCAACTCATGAGATAAATAAGTGAAATAATACTCTTTTTTTTTTTTTTTGATTCTAAATAATAAGCAGTTTTACAAAAGAGGGAAAGCCTCATCTACTCTTCTTTAAACAAGCGAGCAACTTGCAAGCACCAGTGCTAAGATTTCCAAAAGCATTTCTGAATCTGAATTCCAGTTCCCACAGCTCCAGGTGAGACATTTCAGCCCCAAGACCTCAAACATTTCCCTCTTTTCAGAGATGCTTCCTGGCCAAGTTCTCCCGCTTTCTATGCAGCACCTTGCCTGCAACGCAGCCTCTTCGAGGCACCTCCCTTCACGCATCCACACTATGCAGAACTGCACCGCTTGGTTCA